ACTCGCTAGCTTGTTTATATTACAACTATAAATAAGTCCTTTAACTCTTGATTGGACTATCCCCGGCACATAGGACACATTCACCTACATCAGCTGCTCTAATGGTCAATATCATTATTCACGGTCAAAAATAGATATCGCAAAGCCTTCGAAATGCGGACAAACATTACAAATAAAGGCTTCGATTATATGGAAAGGAATTAAGAATATCAGTCGAAAAATGATAGCTCTTCCAAGAGATGGAAAGAACAAGACTACAAGACATTGCTACAGCATGTTAGCACGTGCGCTGGGCTCAGCTTGTCCTCCTTCAATCCCATGATGCACAATTCAAGGTTCCGACTCAGGCCCCGTCCACACTATGCTGGATAAATTTGAATCCGAATATTTATTAATTAGGTTAGGCCTACAGTCCACACTAGTCCGGACGAATCCGGGACAATTCTTCACCGTAAACGAATTCATTCGAATACGGTCTCCAGAGTGGAACAATTTGAAAACGCCGGCTAGCCGTATTAGTGTGGACGGAGAACATTTCGTCTCCGAAATTTTTCGAATACGATGACGTCACGATTGTCATGGGAACACGGGCGGGAAGGCTAAAAATTCACCGCAGGCCGCAATTTCAGCTTCGATACATGCTCAGATGTGCAATGAAGCGTTTTTGCCGCCTCTGATTGGACTAGTGTGGACGCGAAACATTTTATCCGTTTTCATGTGTGGACGGAAAACGTTTTTCTCGGTTTCGGTGTGAAAGTTGCGGATTCAAATTTATCCGGCATAGTGTGGACGGGGCCTCAGACAACAGCGAACCATTCACCGTTGCAGCAGTTTTCCCACAAACGACTACACAGTATCCTGTTTCAAAAAGCACAGAAGAGTACTACAAGAATTACGAGGCAATTATCTTTTATTTTTCAGGACATGAAACAATTGCAGCAATTTACGATTCATTAAGGAAAAAAAGGACAAATTTTTTCCCGGTAACAGCAACACAGCGGCTGGCCGCCATTTTGGATTATCGCTGGAGGTGATTATCGTGTGATAGTGTGAGTTTCTCGACCAATCAGCGCGCGAGATTTTCAATAATCACCTGTGTATTTATACTAAATGTCATTATTATTATTCTATAGCTTGTAAGTGACTTTCCTTGTGTATTAGAACATATATAATATATTAATAACTAACTTTATTTATTTATATATCTTATGTATATATATGTATATGATATATTAATAAGTATTAATATTTTCTGGTCTACTAATGTTATACTTAAGTTCCACACGCTGATCAGTACTTATAAACAAGAGATTACGAGCACATTTGTTCATATACCTGAAGGGCTGGTGTGAACAGTCACTGACACGTGGCTCCACGTGAGTAACTTAAAACAACATCTGAGTCACGAGATCTCATTTCTTCTCTTGTTATTCCTCCAAATTGAGTGTACATATCATTTTGGTCTCTATAGCACTATATACAGTAGAGCAGTTAAACCAATGCCATTATTGGCCTATCCAATCCTTACTGCATATTATCAATATTCTTTAGATACTAGTCAATGTCAACATCCAGGCTAAAGGCGATTTTTTATTTCGCCATTCCTACCATTTCATGCATTTCTTCCCTCTAGAAACAGTCTGGTTTCCATACTTTACTTTATTCTTCAGTGTGGCTATAGAGGAACGTTCTGAACGTAAGCGTCTGTCTGCTGTATTTCTGTCTGTCTTTCTTATACTGTAGTCTTTTGAACATGGTAATTACTAGCCCTTGATGATCCACTTTTGCTGGTCTTATCAATACTGTAGCCATTATCGTTAGCAAAGCATATCCCACTACAACACTTGCCAAACTTTTTGTACATCATTTTTTTCAACTCTTTGATAAATGTTTTATTCCTGAGAGCGTAAAGGACAGGGTTGAGGCAGCTGTTGACTGTCAGGCAAATAGCACAGAATGACGATGTCAAGACTTCTGCTACTACCCGTGACATGACTTGCTTCCTACTCAGAATAGACCAGGCTAAAGAGATGGCGATTGGAAGAAGAAAGAAGAACATGTTGCTAATAACAAGAACGAAGATACGCTTGGCCAATGCCACGTCTGTTGTGCTACCGATACGATCACTTGATTTCTTCACATACAGATAGAGTTGTAAATAGAGAGGCAGCGTAACCAAGTACATTATACAAGCCATCAGGGTTACTACAATACTGTACCAGAACTGATGAGGGATGGACTTGACTGGATAGATAGGAATGCAGAATGTACCTATGGAGTACATGCCGACGCCTACAAATGGAAGGAAAGCTACTACCAAAGACCATATCCAGCAAACCATGATAGCAATACGAGCGGTTTTCATCTTCATTTTAGATTTCACCTTCACTGAGTTGACTACCGAACGATACCTTTCATACGTCAAAACAAGTGAACAACTGACGGCGATAGTCTGACCAAGAATCCACATTGGACCAATATAATCACACTTACTGTCAGCAAATGTTCGTGTTTGTTCGTAGTCATAGACGTGATGAATCACTGCAATTATGACAGAGTAAACACCATTGAGAAAGTCCCCAAAGGCTAGGTTTGATACGAGAACCATGGCAATGTTTCTGCGCAGGCGCTCCGAGAATGCTGTCGTCAAGACAACGATTAGGTTAAGAACGATAGCGACAGGACCAAACAGGTATTCTAACGCTAAGACGCGAATATTGACATCCCTACATGGAGCTTTCGATGTCTCTGTTACCTCAGTGTTGTAACAACTAGAACCTCTGGCGAAGCACTCTGCAATAAAGTCATGCTTAGCAAACATTTGTATGACATGACTGTACTTAGTTATCTTAGCTCGGCACGCGTAGCCTGCTACCCATTCAAAGTATTCTTTCTTCTTAATCTTGTCCAGTAATGTTTTATTGATATCTCGCTTTAGACTGCAATCACTGCACTGGTTGTTCCATCTCACACCACGGATTTCCTTCAAGCTCTTGATGCTTAATAACTCATCATCTGGTACCCAGTCATCATTCTCAGATATATCCAGGTATTCTAGTGAGGGCAGCTCGATCTGAACTTCTTTTGTATCCCATGACTTGATGCGGTTATTACGTAGAGTTCTGAGGATGAAAACCAACAAAATGAATACAAAACAATGACTCAATTTTTTGTTGTAAGTAGTTCAGTCCATTCCATTCGACTGCGGCTTTTTAGGAGGATGCGCACTTGTCTATTTCTAACTGCGGGCAGCGACCATCAAGGTGCGGCCGCTTAGCATCCAGAGTTTATCAAGATGCTTTGCTTGCACAACAAGACGTTTATGAGAAACGTTTCTAATACTTACAGGTTGACAAGGCTAGCAAATTCCTCAAAGACTCCTTGTGGGATTACGCTGATATTTCCGTTGGACAAGTCCCTATGAAATATTAATCACAACCACGCGCATTAATATATTAATGCTTGAAATATCTGTTGGTATATGTACATGTAGAAATACATGAATGTCGGTCACTCAGATATCGACAACCACAACACCGAAATTAAGGTGTGTTTTTGCCCAATCTGAAGCAGGATAGGAAAGCTATGACCGATCGGCTGGGATCGATGAGTTGGTTTGAAGAATGAATGCAATGTTAATGCTATAATGTCGGCTAACGCCCGCCAGCATTAAAGCATACATTCCGAAAAGCAAATCGCGCTCTATTTATTCATTACCATATTCAAGATGGTTTGGTTAGATTGTGTATCATCTTTATATTAATACTAGTGCCATGGTGTTTCAAGCATAATACATTGATTTAAACGGTGACTGGTTGAGTGTTTTACGCACTTATTATATCCTGAATGACAGCCCATTCACCTTGACTTTTATTCACAGTCAAAGCAATGCAACAATATATCTCAACGTTTTGATCATTCTGTCATCACGACCGCGTGAGACACAAACTCACTCTTATTTCACGAGCAAATTCATGTCATTATGAATGGATGGAAATAGACTAAACTTTTCAAGTGACTTTCCCACGTACAGACATTGATCTTGTGTCTATAGTTAACTGCTGTTGAGTAACTGTTGTGTTAATTAATTCAATTAGTTAAAAGCTCTTGAAATAAGACTATCTGATCGTCATATTAAGCCGATTTGAAGTGAGTATTACAACATGTTTATGTAAACACAACATGAATAAAGATACAAATATATGTTTATTTATCGAATGAGCACTCGAAACTTGGCGGGGGTTTGAAGCAGAAATATGGCTTGACCCATTCCTTGATCCTAAGATTCTCCAAATCATTGTAAAAGCTGCGAATTAACAATCTTTCTTGGCCTGCCCTCGTTGTGTATCGAATGATACCACATTCTAGGGTATCAGTTTCATACGCACGAATCAACAGAACGCCCTGTATAGGCTTCCTCCTTTGCTTCTCAACATGAATAACCGATTGTACATAAAAACGAAGACTATTTCTGGTCATTCTTTGATACTAAATTAGTCCGATATCACACTGTGTTTGGTTCTATTTCAGTTTTCAATGTCTTTCATCAATCATTAACATTCTTCAAATCACTTACATTATTCATTATTACATTCTACTAAATCGAATCTAGATTATTACTTTTATTAATTGATAGTTCATCTAATATTTGACGATAAAACAACACAAGAAACGTCCAGCTAAATAATGTCAGTCAGTCAAGGTTTTCCCCACACTAAATATCCGCTGATAGCAAGACTTTCAATGGCTTTTTAAGTTCAAATTGTCTTGAGCAATCAGCTTATCGACAAATGCAGACAGACATTCTGGTAAATGAACTACACACGACTGACAAAACCAATACACTCGTGGGCCGCCAAGATCGAATATGAAAGGAGTCAGTCCACACGGCAGACAGGATATAGCCTTTGAATAGACTATGATTGGAAGTAGACCAAAACTACTTCCTACTTCCCGGCATAATAACTTCATTAATAATTTACAACTAACGAAAAAGACTGTCTCACGCAATCCCTCCTCCCACGTAATGTTTAAAAAACTACTCATAAAATAAAGTGAATGGAAAAAAAAAAATTAAACATGGGAAAATGGGCGGGAGAAAAGTAAGGAGCTCTTATCAGACTTACAATGTACATATTTTCCTTGGTTCTGAAATAAATGCCTTTAGTTTGCTCAAATCTGTCAGGCCACATCTTCCTGCTTGACTGGTGTTTAGGTCTTCTGAACACACGAATGATTTACCAGTACAGGGATCACCTGATTGGCTGATAGAGAAACAGATGACGACGATGAATGTGAAGAGCAGACAAGTCATCTGACAGAAAGAAAAACAGAAAATGCAATTACAAGATTAATAACTGAACATTTGATTCATTATAATTATGATAATTGTACCAGGTATGACCTCTCTAACCAATCCTATCCTTCCACATACGCATCACCTCACGTCTATCCATCATGTAGAGTGAATTTATTCAAACTTTTGAATAGTTGACGTCACCTAAATTAGATAAGTTATTTATTATTCAACAGTGTGACTATTAAATCACTCTATTAATACGAATATACCGACCCCGACAAACAATGCATAAAGTTAAAAATTCCCACGTCTTTGATGGACAAGTAAAGGCAATACGTATAGACTTTATTCATAAAAGAATCAAATTATTATATGTGATGTGTCAAGTCCGGTAAAGGTCCTGGCCCGCCGGAAACCACACCGTATTGACTCAACGCTCAAATAAATCGTTCACATGTTTCACTTGTCAGATAAACGTGCCGGATATTTTGCCTTGCTTTTTAACGTTCTCGGTAGTGTATCAAACTATCAAACTCTGATTGTCAATGGTTTGATTTGAGAAGACTGCCCCATGATATGGCATTCGTTGTAGTGTGGTATGTGTCTGTTAGCGCTATTAAACCATTATTAATAACCACTAAAAGCTTAATGACTCCCTTTGTCAACCACAGAATGGTTATTATTAAGTCTAGGACAATATTTGTATGGCAATCTGCCATGACTGACATCCACGACAAAATACATGGATTTCATTAAAATCTCAATTAAACCGCGTCGAGATGGGTTTGCTTTAGGAGGTGTAGTGCATGCAGATAAAGCTAAAGAGACTAGCATGTCTCCAGCTATCACCAGATTGACCATGATTTTAGTCCAATCCTTGACTTTTGTCTGGTTTGTGTAAGGAAAGCGCCAGCTTAGTTTGATCAATGTAACTTGGAATAAGTATTCTTTGATCATAATATCTGGACAGGAAATCTTGCCTCGGGTTATAAGTTATAATTCTTAAACGTATTTGAGATATCCATCTTAGTCGCCTGTCTTTTATAAATGACTTCAACGAGCTAGCTCATTAAAATTAGCTTTAGATTTGACTAGAGTAATTTTTGATCTCTTCCTGAAAGATGTTTTGAGACTAAGAACAACCCTCCACTCCAGCTGAGATGGATGTTATTGTTTTGTCTAGTGTTCATTTATTCTTTATGTGTGTTTATTGTGCTATGGACCAGTGACCAAAGTCTTATATCAGTCATTCTGAGTAATATCTTAATATATCACTCAACCATCCAGTGTAAAATCAACAGTTTTTTTGTGATCGAATCATATTCAACTATCTTCTTGTGGTGTTGCGGGTATTTTCTCATACCTTACGCATTTTTATTCAGCCTTTAGATTAAAAAACCCCTAATTCTACGCTATCGGCGCCGAGTTTAATAGGTACTGACATGGACTGGCGCGACTGTACCGACGTTTATATTGAAGTATATATATTAAGTATCGACAGAAATTGAAGGGACTTTTCATTAACACGGTCGGTCCGTTTCTGGGTGAAGCAACTATTTCTTGGTTGTATAATGTTAAAAAAATATTTCACCGCGTTATTGATATTCGAATTCAAACGAGAATTTCTTAGTATCCTCATGAATAATTTCTATCTAGTAGTACACACCTTTTGTCCTACCGATTTAGAAAATATTCGCTTGATGTTTCGAGGGAAATGCTGAATGAAAGCAAATTGTGTCCATACTAAGAGAGAAGTGACCACTCCCGGGTTAAATAGTGTAATCCATAAAACTATAGTTAATACTACAGCAGTCAGTATGGATCTCAAGAGCTACTTTCAAGTTCCTACCGAACTCTCTTCAGTCCAGTTTGTTAATGACAACCTCTAAGTTCTTGACTCACGAACTGAAAAGGCTGTGAATTCAGATTTCGAGATTCATAAAATCTTGTCAGTTAAACTAGCAGCTTTACTTACCTTGCCGTAATCACTGAGACAATCTAAATGTAGCTTGATCGTTGAGTAAAAGTGCCCGCGCTGCTTACGACTGACGCAACTTACCGTAGAAGATTCTGTGCTCTTTGTGGTCTAACATCAACTGAATACCCGACGAGAAACAATTCTACCGTTGAGGTCACTGATGGGTTGAGCTGGCTCTGCTGATGAGCTAGTATGCCATATAATATTCAATAGACGAATATTACGTCACCGCTCGACCCAAAATCAATTTGGCGAGTGACGAACGAATTTCCGCTCAAAGCCGGTGGAGGATGAAGAGTAATCAAACATTAAACAGCTTTTAAGCTAACCACACTGGACAACGTGTTTGCAAACCTTCGAATTGACAAAGACCTTAATTCGAGAGGTTGTTGAGATTCTCTTCATTGATAGGATAGCCTTCCAATAGGCCAATACTCTAGGCCTTTTTCGCTTTGAATTCAGAACAAGAAGATATCCTTTTTTTATGATGCGAAAAATCCGTGTGGCTGGCTGGAAGAGTGGCAGGTGTAAGTAACTGGGCTTTTTCCAGCAGAAAAACGAAAAATTCTAAGGGTAATAGATATGACTGAGAAGAACTATGCAAAGAATCGTCGAGAAATACGAAACTACAAAATATGAATCACAACAGACCAACAACTCATTGACACCTGGAAGTCAGGAAACAGTGCCTGTCACTAAACTATATCCCCTATGTTCTCTTAAGATATCATGGTTATTTGCTTGGCATTTTCCCACTTTGTTTGCAGCCTCACCATCATCCTACTCCATATGAAAACACGCGTCTTGTCATTATTTTATTGTAATGGAAGTAATGGAAGAGAGTTTGACTCTAACTTGGTGTGTGGTACACACGTACGTACTACGAACAGCTGAAAACAATATGCAAAACACTCAGCTTACCTTCAATCTTATGTTTCTTAATGCTCTGAGGATTAAAAAAAGCTATAATCTTTTTGATTCTAAAGAACACATTTAAGTACCATCAAATGTGGCGTTCTTTCAGTATTTCTTTAGTAATCCTTCTCAATGTATCTTTCAGCGATTAAACCACAGCCCTCTCTCAACCACAATACTCTATTTTCCTCTCGAAACAGCTCCACTTTCTTTTCCCTGTCCACAGACGCCACGAATTCTACTATTTAAACTATAAACAGTAAACTACTGCAAATATTTTCTGGTAAAAACTACTACGGGGAAAATCCATCAATCTATCTACAGTTTCTATCTGCCTTAGTATCTAATTTATCTATTATCCAATCGTTTATTTACTATTTAATGGCACACACTTTGAATGTTTGCTCGTAGTTTTGGTGCTTAAACAAATATTTGGTTTTTTTTTTAGTTTCATACAAGTTCTCATGAAGGATGTTTTCCCACTTGACTAACCTTCAACTGGAGCCTTGTTGTTTTTGAATTGAGCTTCAGTTCAAACCACAATACACGATTCTTATCCTGCTTTAGGGAGACACTCGACGCCCAGGCTTTCAGCGCCGAACTCGAATACAAACAACAAACGTAAAAGAGTTCTTGTCTACGATAGGAGATGCATGTGATGTGGAGAGAGTAATTGTGTTGGTTGTTTTTGTTCAATATAATAGAGCAACCTGTAAGCCCAAACAACGCTCAATACCAATATATACAGCTCAGCAAGACACACTCACACAGCCTATTCATTCATTTCTCGAATCTTTTTTCTCTATGTTTTATTCAAATCAAGTTTTCTAGAACAACTCTTCAGTATTCAGAACCACAGCTACAGTAATGATCATTAACAATGATGGAGAATTTCTAGCTTATGTTAAACCTTCACGGATAATTGGCGTCGAAAGAAACCGCCCTTATTCATTAGCAAAACACCTGTTAATTAAACATGAGACCCGGTTTGAATATCAGTCGTTAATCTGGAGGAAAGAGCCTACCAATTGAATATTAATATTCAACCAGGGTGGCTTAATAATTGAATAGCTAGTTTGAAGGGGAATTATTCTGTTTAGAGCTTTAATCTCTAGTGTGTCATCTGTTCTTTCTTTGAACGGCTGAAAGTTACAATATATTTCTATTTTGCAGATTGAATAGCTAGCCAGCCAGCCAGCCAGGCAAAGCAAGCAAGCTTTGCAATGTGAAAGGGAATTTCTTTTTTGCGACAGACCGCCCGATCATGCATTAATTTCGCTCTGATCAGTGTTTATAGAGGATGTTTTCAGTTATTACTAACCAATCTCTTGATGTAAATTCAGTAAAAGACATGTTTATTAAACACGTTAGAACTACCGGTGTATGGAAGAGAAGGCGAGCCATCAGTCGAATCAGTAAATGTGCCTAGAATCCCTAGAACGATATTATCATTCATTCTTCAAATTGACTAGGGAAATGAATGAACGAAAATGAACGAATGAACGAATGACAGATGGGTGGATGGATGAATAATGTTCACCTATGTTTCACTATTCACATTGTTCAAGCACCGACTATATTTGAACATTTCAACACGTGCTATCACAGGTAGCCCAAGCTTGGTTTCTGTGGTGTCATGCTATAAGGAAATGTATGGGGATTCTTCAAAAATTTCAATAAAATCATTGAATCGTGAAATGAAGCCTCGAAATTTTACCCGATCATTGAGAAATAGCACTTCTTTCGCTCTGTGTGTTTTTTTAAAAAAAAAATTTAGCCCGTTTAAGGATTTTTTCCCCCCCACCAGTAATGATTTTATTGAAACTTTTGAAGAATCCCCATACATTTCCTTATAACAACCTTGGGCTACCTGTGGTGCTATTGACGTATTGAATATCTATCAATAAGTAGCTGTGTAATAATTGAATTCAAGCGTTTTACGTTTTACATTGTTCTTTATTAGAGCCAAACTTCGTTCTAAACTACAGATGAGAAAAACCGTTTGTCTCACCGTCGAACGACGTTGGCTTCTAACCACGCCGTCCGCCGGTGATGACGTCACGACTGTCGCGGTATGCAGCTACAAGCTGGGTGAGGTGAATGAGTCCTCTCCATCGAGTTATCTCTCCATAGTCATTTCGACAGTAAAGATCGGATGAAGAGACGTACAGATACGAGAGATGTACGAGTAGTACTGGTCTATACTGTCTGCTCAATTAGTGTAATAATAATGTTTAGTAAAAATACACAGGTGATTATTAAAAATCTCGCGGGCTGATTGGTCGAGAAACTCACACTATCACACGATAATCACCTCCAGCGATAATCCCCTCCAGCGATAATCCAAAATGACGACCAGCCGCTTTGTTGCTGTTACCAGAAAAAAAATGATCTTCCTTTTTTTCTTTTTTTGAAAGAATCACCTGTGTATTTATACTAAAACAATTATTTGCCTCAGCCTCAGTGAATATCGGAGAATATCATCCTCGCTGCTCAAAGAATCGCGTCTCGGTAAATATTCCCCGATATTCACTTCGCTTTCGGCGAATATAACCAAATAGTAACTATAACCAAACTGACATGCGCACTGGTGCTTAGTGTGTGGCTAGTCATGTGGTGACATTCAGCGAACTCAATGAAAATAATCCAGCATGCCGTGTACATCATGTGAAACTCGCAACATGCATCAATGTACATGTATAGTTCATTGAATACTAACTGGCCTAGATCCCAGTTACTGCTGCAGACAGACGCGTGCGCCCGTAATTACCGCCAAAACTGATTGAATCAAAACGACCGGTTATCAATTTACGAATTTATGAACCAGCAATAAAAAAGTCAAACTTAAGCGATGATTTATTGAAGGTACTGCGGCTCCTGTTATTGAGTGTTGGAACACGTTAGAATTGGCATTAATGAGTTCGGGAAAAATTGAAAACCGTTATTGATGAATGTTTAAACGATGAAGCGACTACAAAATAAAAATGGCGTCTTATTGTCTAGATTATGAAAATACGCGCAATATAGCGGTCTATTCTGTGTACGCTTTGATCTCAACGTGAAAGAGAAACACATCAAACACTGTCAGTACACATGTCAAGAAAGGGCTGAAGAACTGAAATCATCACAAGAAAAAAATAAAGCAAATACCATCAATTTTATCCGTTCTTGTTTTGGTTGGAAAGACTCTTTTAAACCTCTTCCGTGTCTTCTGGAAACTTATTTTGACTACCTATTAGCTGTTATATTAATTGGTTTCTGACTTTTCCCCCATGCAATGTACAAAAGCGGCTGCGAAAAGACGGCACCTAACAATCATTACATCACTTCTTTTGATGTTCTATAATGATATAGCCTTTTAGTATTCACTAGTCAAAGTATGGCAACTCACGATAGCCATGCATGGCTCCCCCGTCCTGCCTCTAAGTTAAGAAACTAACTAATTTTCTAGAATATAATTCTTTCACCATTATCAGAAGTGTTCTGCTTTAAGGGTGATTAAAGCCAATTGAAAGTAAAGCTAAAGCTAGAGGTAATAAATGAATGAATTAATGAAGTTTTCACCGCGGCATTCAACGCCAACACGATTCTGAGTAGCCTTTTATCCTGGTAGTCAATATCCTGTATTTTAAGGCATTCCTGCCAGTCTCTTTCATCCGCTCTCTACACACGTTTCTATTTGAATACCTAATCTCATTAGTTTTTTAAAGCCCATATTTAATGTTGGTCATTAGTATTCTTCCTATTGAAGCTTTTAATCAAGTCCTTCATGTTCAGTTCTGTGCACAATTACTCCCTTTGACCCGCTTGGCAAAATAGCGGGTAATGAAGACAGATGCTGTGAATTTGAAACAACTTGAATACCAGTCAAAGGAACCGCAGAATAACTGATGAAAAAGTCCTTGAAGCGTGACGCACAATGAAAGATGTTTCGAGAAATCAGCGAATAAGCACCGACTATAAAAAACATTTTGTTGAGTAAAACGCCATATTTCAATAAATTAATAATTCTATCACAAAAATTAGTCGAGATATAAAACATTACTTTCTTTATTATTAGAAAATAATTCCCTAAAAGAAAGATGATTTGAATAACCAGCAAAAGTTTTGTATTGACTTAGTTGTGCACATGAATATTATTCCATACTGTTTTATCTTCTCTTAAGCTGACGAACATTATTATAAATGGCACTTACTGTCATTCAAAAGGTTTCTTTGTTTGCTTTTAACTAGCTTTACTGAACATACAAGACATTCAGTTGGAATACCTAAGTTAGTAAAGCGGTTGGTCTATACTTGCTGGGTTAGTGATCTTGTTCCTGGTGTATCCTCGGGTATTGTTACCCGTTTGTGAAAGGCTGTTAAGTACGTGAGTATCTTTGTGGTCAGTGCAGCTAATTATATAGATTTTCACTGAGGTAGCATTGTGACCTCCAATCTTTGAGGTTACGTATGTAGGTAGGTAGTGCTGTATCAAGGAATAATAATAATAATGATAATAATAATAATAATAATAATGATAATAATAATAATAATNTAGAATATTTATATTGCGTGATATTTCACTCAACAATTTAGGATTTATATCTTCTTCCATTCCTTTATTTTGTGGTGAGAAAATATTTACGTATTCCAGGTAATCATTATAGCCAACCAAATCTTATTTTGTAAAGAATGCTGTATGCTGTTTTCGTCATATAGTTTTTCTCAGAGAGTGATTTAAAGTTGTTGTGAAAAAATCGAGCAATAGGGATCGTGACGTCTTTACCGTTGCTATTAACTACGAAATGCGGCCACCTAATAACTATCAGAACATAGCCGCGAGCGATTGATTAATATTGCTATAAATAGGTCACGTGATATATCGTGTCCTACAGATCTTCCTTTCACTTAGTTAGGGTTAGTGAGTGAGTGATCAAAGACAGTTACTGCAACACGATGTTTTCTGGTGAGTAAACCTGCCTTCATACCTGTTGAACTATAGATCTCAATAACCGGGAATACTAGATATAACCACACTTTTACTGATAAGAAGTTTCAGGACTCATTTCAGAATAGGTCAGTTGTCTTGTGAATCCAGCGGTTACCCCTTGAATCGTCAGAACTAGTCTTTAAGCCTGTCTTATTTTATCTATACATTGTAAAGAACACTTTTCTTTGCTTTAATTTCATCCTACATAACACTGAATGTTATGCAGGATGTTGGTGATAACAGATATTTCATGCGGCATCTCCTACACTACAAGTCACTAACTATTGTAAAAGTTATGCGAACTGCATCTGATATATTTACATTGGGTTTTCCTGATTCGCAAGTAATATTATACTTTACTAGTGATGTCGGTAGTAAGATGACATTCTAGTCATGTCCCTTTTCCCTTGTCTTATCGGGTCTTCTTTCTAACTACTCGATTGTTTTATGATAATATTGGCGACGCAGACCGGCTCAAGTCAGATGCGCATGTAAAACTGTAACTTTTATGATAAGGCACTTGGTCGCTTCCCTGGCAAGAGAAATGAGTTTTTTCCTAAGTTTTTAATGATATAGCTAGTAAAATGACTAGTGAAATGACTAGTAAAGACCATCACAATTTGTTGCTCAGACTAAACATAACTATCTTCGGCAACAATGTTCAACATGCATGCGCTCATACGTATATTTTGTGTGAATAATGCCTAATAATTTCAGTATAACCAAGGAAATATCTTGTTGTAATTGCATGTTTAGGCTTTAAACTACGGCCAGTTGAGTCTAAAGTACCATAATCAATTATTTAAGACCTTACTGCACTCAAACACTAGCCAACACTAGGGAAAAAAAATCATTAGTTGTTGGTACTTTTGAGTGCCTAACAAATCAATGGTATAAAACGATCAAGGCTTTAGTAAACAGTTCTAGAAACACCGTGTTTTGTTTTATAGACAGATCAATTTATAAGAAGATAGGTAAGCTGTTCTAGTCACATCTACTTGATAATTTGTTTTCAAAAACAAAAATAGCTTGCAATAAATTATTTTAATTTTTGTTTTCTCTTTCACAGAGAGCTAAAATGTTTCCTAATTCATTTCCTAACGTGATTCATTGTCTACTGATGGTTACCATGGTGATGGTTGCCCATACGAAAGGTAACGTAGCAACTGAACTCTTAAATGACAGATTCACCTGTCGATGACGCACTTAAGTCACGTGAGGCGCAAAGACAGGGACATCACATCACATCACATCACATCACATCGATATGGAAGCGATTTGTCAACCGTCATCTTTAGCTGATAGAGCTGATAGCATGTAATGTCGGAGCATGCGCACTAGTACGATCGAATGCTAATAGACCAAAATACTGCTTGTTGATAAAGTGGTCTTTTGTTCAGCTATAGCGCAGCATTTTAAAACCTATAGAAAACACATTAGGGATTGATCGATGTATTAGTCGTAAGATGAAGACTGACAAACCTTTTAAAGTTGTTTTGGTTTTGACTCGAGACCAACACGTGGAAATAATACAACAAACGACTCTAACATTACTCAGCTGCCAACCACAGAATAGAACCGGTGCCCTTTTTTAAAATAGTCCTTGATCATTTGAACTATTGTAATCAATTCAGCCCCGGCTAACCCTAACTTTACCCTGATCTTGTTCAGTAAAAAAGAACCGTCTCATTATTTATTACACGAAAAGCACTGTGTGAGTATATCTACCACGGCGGAGGAGTTGCACTTTCACCACTAACCAAATAATAGAATGCTAAATGCTAAATAATCAATCATTGCACTAATTTAAGTATTCCAGTTATAATTAGGAGCCGTAACTCGTTGTCCCTTTGAATATTACTAAACATGACTTCTCTAGTTCAATAGACCATGATATAAACTCACCTTCAAACAGACACCAATCTTTTTCCCTCTGAGTCGTATATGACTGACGATGCTCAAACGCGCAGCAGACAAAGTAACGGTCAAAACAAAGGGACGGCTTTAAAGATATCGACAACAAAAGATAATTAATTGAGCGATTGGAAAGTACTTTGAGTTTCTATTTAAAACTTTCCGGGATTTAACACGAAGATCTTGTCAACTAACCTTAAATACAACTAGCTAATGTACTGGCGAGTAGCACGCGTCAGGTTTTCTACTTAGTAGTTCAAAACACATCCTCGAAGTAAGATATATCGAAGTAGTTAATTCAATTAAGCACTAAAGTACATTAATGTACAAGTATGCCTTCGGGTGTTTCAACATTTTGTTATATCCCCAACGAGGCAACATGAACTGACAAATCGTTTTTACAAAAGTTTTGCAAGATGTTGATTCAAATTCGACAGGTTTTCCAGCTACAGACGTTATTTTCGGGCCTCTTGTCAGTTAGACCACCTTAAAGGTATGTTTCAAGGGCTGGAGAGTTAACACAACCAATCACCGTCCAGTTAGTACTGACTGACAAAGAGTGTACCACCGCCATTACTTTACAGTAATGTTTCAGTAGCCCACTTTTTATAATGAAAAGATGCAATAGATAATAAGCTCAACGTCAAACTCCAAGAATTACATGATAGATAGCCACTCTAACCTCAACCAGCTGCTGGATTATTATTCAGTGTAACTCACTGAAGGAATACATTAAAACCAGACACTATTATTCAATAATGCGCCTTTAAGGCGCGGGTTGTAGTCCAACCAAGGTGTTTGAATTACTCCTCTTTAATAAGCATCATTAATGTCTTTATAATTAAAATAAAGTAAAGTGCATTGCATCGTTTGATGAAAATACCATTATCGACTAAGTTACTAACAGTATTCTGTATAAGTAAATACAGCGAGGTTATAGATTCCATTCTTTAGCTTCACTGATTTAGGGGGGAAAATCTGAATCAGAATAATCTTGTGCACATATGCATTAAGCATGACAGATATTAAATTAAAGTGTTCATGGGCCGGTAAGATTCGGATCGTTACAACAATACATCAATTATTGCTGACACAGATTATCAAAAACTAGCGTCCATTTCTTACGTTGTACATTTGCTCGTAGGATATTCATTGTAATCAGTAATTAACATTGGTTTTGCGGTTTTCCGTGTTTTGTGCTTTTTAATATTTTAACTATTCGTTTTTACCCCCAATGTGTTCCATCAAAAGTACCTAAAGTGCGTTAGAAATTTCCCCTTTTTTCTATAGACAGCTTTGCTAATGTCAGTATTTTGACATATTCTATATGATTGTTATTATTCACATCTTATCAAGGAGCTACTAAACGAACCATCTAGATCAAGCTAATGGAATGCGTGGTTCAATACAAATCTTTAAAATCGACAATCGCAGTACTGACTTTACTTATATCAATTAAGATAGAGACAAATTACCAACATTGAATAAATGTATGAGACGTCATGAGACACAGATAGAGAGCAAAAGTGATTTATAAAAGACCAAAGGATCGGTGTAATGTTCCTTCCATATCTGATAAAACCAGAATATGGTCAGTCAAGGGGATGCCTGTCACCGGCCTACAAAGACATCATCCTTTTTAGGTTTTATATTATCCTTTATTCGACTCGAGGCATGACGACAATAACTACACAAGGATAATTAATTTGGAGCTAAACGATACCATGTAAAACAACCCCCCCCCCAGCTGTATCTGTCCTTGTAAAAAAATTGCAAGGAATACTGAAATGATTAGTGTAGTGAACACAGTTTAAAGTGACTGCAAAATTAAAAGATAGGAAAAAGAACAGAAAGAGTGATGGTCATAAATGAAAGGGTTATGGAAAGGGAAGCCGAGGTACATGGAAACATATTATGATGGAGTGTACGCTACCATGTTTATATATTATATTGATATATCATAGTTTGTATTGATACTGGTAAGATGTGCTGGTGGTGGAGTCTAATGAAATGGTGCAGTCCTAAAAACAGCTACTCTAAGAATGAATGTCCAAAGCGATGCAACCTCTGCCATACTGACCCAGGTACAGCCCTAATTGTATATCGTACATTGTAACCTGTATAACCTGTACATTGTAACCTGTATAACCTGTACATTGTAACCTGTATAACCTGCAGTACATTGTAACCTGTATAACCTNGTACATTGTAACCTGTATAACCTGTACATTGTAACCTGTATAACCTGCAGTACATTGTAACCTGTATAACCTGTACATTGTAACCTGTACACTGTAACCTGAATAACCTGTACATTGTAACCTGTATAACCTGCAGTACATTGTAACCTGTATTTATAACCTCTATATTGTAACCTGTATAACCTTTACATTGTAACCTGTATAACCTGTACATTGTAGCCTGTATAACCTGTACATTGTAACCTGTATAACCTGTAAATTGTAACTTGTATAACCTGTACATTGTAACCTGTATAACCTGTACATTGTAACCTGTATAACCTGTACATTGTAACCTGTATAACCTGTACATTGTAACCTGTATAACCTCTATATTGTAACCTGTATAACCTGTACATTGTAACCTGTATNTTGTAACCTGTATAACCTCTATATTGTAACCTGTATAACCTGTACATTGTAACCTGTATAACCTCTATATTGTAACCTGTATAACCTGTACATTGCAACCTGTATAACCTCTATATTGTAACCTGTATAGCCTGTACATTGTAACCTGTATATTGTAACATGTACATTTATTTGCTATCTTATGAAGGTTGTTTTGTATTTGCTTCTAGTGTTAGTAACTTCCTCGTCAATGGTAACGCAATCCACTCCAGTCATACCAGTAATACCTTCAATCACAGCATCCATTTCCGTCACACCTCAATTCTCTACTAGTATGGTTATTGCAAGTAGTTGTACTTCACCAACACAAGTGAAAGCATCTTCATCAACAGTTCAAGACTGTAAATTTCCAACATTACCCTTCAGTCATAATGTACTTGAGAATATGTACATGATTGGTCACGTGTTTTCTAAACATATTGTGGTATCCGAGGCTCACTGTGAGGATCTGTGTTTGCGCGCGCATCTTTGCCTGGGTTATAACTTCAATCAGGATCAGAATGCGGGATCAAACAACTGTGAACTCCTGGATCACGTTGATAATTTCTCTCCTAAATCTGGAAGTGTTTTTCGACTGTTTGACAGAGACGCCGCCATAAGGGTATGGTACCTTTATCACTGATCCTTTAATACAAAACGTCTGTTATGTGTCTGGGATCGACCCGGCGAGTCAGCGATCCTTGTGGTCAGTTGCTTGTATTACTTACGATGCATGCTGAACACAAGGAACGCTGGCTTCTGATATGGGCATTGAACCCAAGGAACTGATAAACTTCACATCCTTAGTGATTGCTTCTATATAAATTTATAATCTTTATCCCCCAACCTACTCGGTCAATGAAACTCGTGCTATAGCTACCCTTGTATATTCCACATCCTTTATCTTAACAAAGTCTCTTTTTTTGCAGGAATTACTAGGAAATGACGAAGCTGCAAGCGTACGTGCAGCGTGATGATTACAAAGACTGACTGAGAGAGCAAAAAATGATCAGATCTTACTGATTCTATATCAAGGACAACACTGCTATACACCGCAAGTCTATTATTGCCTTTTTGTTCTTCGAAAACCACAAATTATTCATGGTTCCCCATCAGAAAATAGCGAAGCAATCACCTTTGCAGCATTTTCCCAGTGAAATTAAATTCTTGTCCCACAAACAATTATACAGTATCTTTTTTAAAGAGTACTATACGAGGATAACGAGGCAATTTTCTCTTACTATCAAAGGACATGATACAATTCATAATCAGTTCCGCGATCAGATCTTTAAATATCGAGATATTTTAGCTATTTTTTGAGCTTAGTGTGGCATCCCGGCCACTTTTCAAACCGTTCCACTGCCTATGTCATCTAAGATTCTACCGGGACTGCACAACTCTTCTGTTCTACGACGGTCGTACGATATCTCACAGGTCGTACGCCACTCTTTGTGCTGTAGCATTCGTTGTAATAAATATTATTATTATTATGAATATGAATGGCACATGCTTTGCAGCCGTGTTTGTTGATTCATTGCATCAACCAGCGCTAACACAAAACCCTAGTTCCATTTTGTACCAAGGATGGAGGGGTCGGGCTCTCCAGAAGATGAGGGGGAGAGGGAGGGGCGTATTTGACCTTCTACTCAAAGTAAGGCAATGGAGAACAACATGATATACATACAATCACGTCACAAGAAAATTAATTAAACGTATTCTTGTTCCAAGGTCCTGTGGATCGATTTATTTATTAAAGTGGTTTCTGAGTGAGTGTGAAATTAATACGCTTTTTGCATTAGTTTTTAAAATCCTACTGGAATATTCACAGTTGTTCGTATCTTGATGGATAATTAGTTATATTCATGTCAGCTTTCTCTCCCGGCTGTGTCCGGTCCAACTGAGGAATGAAAATAAATGATCGATCATATCAGCGATAAAACAAACAAATGGAGTCAAGTGCGTGGACCAAACAAATAACTGCACCAAGATCCGGCATTACTTGTCATATCGCTGGCTGGTGCGTGTAGAGATGATCCAATAAGCCGGAAAAGGCGAATTTTCTTTTTTTTTTCTTTTGGAATACGAGGAAAGAGATTTGATATTATATAGGTTATGTTATTTCACTTGTTTTACCAAAAAGATGCAGGGCTGAAATGCTGTTACTTCTCTAGTTTACGTTATTAAAATCGATTAATCTAGCAAAATGATGTAAGGGTGAGATGTACGGCATGTTAGCTTTGATACTAACCCTTGATAAGCCTTCACATGGAAATAAAAAAAGTTAGCACTTAACGCAGATACTCAGTCAGTTTAAGGGTTGTCCTTATTTCTCTCAGCTAGAGGCAAAAGGCAATGCTTTTTTACTCCTGCTGGGTATCTTTCCATCACCAGCTGAGCACAAAGTGGTGTTGATAATGGCGGCCCTGCTTCCGATGATCCTATTGAATAAGTGATGCAGCTGATACAACTTGTCAAACAACAGCCATTGATACGCATAAAGAAAAATACTTAGCTTGATTCACAACAGATTACACAGCTAAAAGTACAACAGCGGTTTTATCATCACTCTTGTGAGATCGTACATGGTAGTGAGAGAAGATGGGTATCATACCATCAACAGGAGAGATAACGTTCTCTTTGATATGTATAAGGGCGAATGGATTGATGTTCGCTTGGACACATGAAAACATTAGACTATTTGGTAGGTAATACTCGGTACTTTTTCATTTTTGCGTGCCATCGATAGTAATGCAGCTAAGAAACTGAAAATTCCCTATAAATTTACCGCAACTTTTCACGGTCAGAGAAATCGTTTTTACTGTCCAATAAATTGGCTAGCGCTCCTGTTATAAATATTTAGATCACTTTGCTAAGGGGTCCAATGGTTTGCTATTGTAACGTATTTTCTTTTTAAAGACGCAGACATCGTCTTCAAACCAAACAAATCAAGCGTGGTTCAGCCCATACCAGTGTTAGATCCCATGAATGAATTCACTGCTTGTTTTTGGGTGAGACTTGATCCCTTGCCATGGCCGGTGGGATCAGTAGTGTTTCTTAACTATTCTGCACATGAAAAACACGATGAAATCGTTCTTGAATATCAAACTACTGTCCAGTTTACTGTGGGTGCAAACACTATGTAAGTAGTACTACTCTTCCCAGTAGACCGAGGTAGTTATTTTTTTTATCGCCTTCGTAGCGTCTGTTATGTTATCCAGAAGTACATTTCAAATCGACCACGTGATGCCAATGTTATGGGGTCATTAAAATAATTAGAATAGCTCCTCTTTTAGGTGACGTCAAGGTATATCGTGTCACATATCATTTAGTTTGAAATCAAAATAAATAAAGCGTCGTTTTTACTAGGATAGCACTTATTAGCCAGTGGCTAACAAACCCGTGACCCTCGTTCTATGTTGAATTGGAAATTAGAATTTGATTTTTGTGGAGGGAGGAAAACCGTAGAAAAACCCTCAGATGAGGCGAGGCGATCGCTCTCTCCGGTACTTCCCATAGAATATCCCGCCAAGCACAATATAACTAGCCGGGTGTGTCCCAAGCGCGAGGGATCCGGAGGTTACTCTAACTTTATGTAAACATGTTCTGAATGAGTTTCTGGCCAGTATTGTTTTGAATCTAATGGCAAATGGTTTGCATTACGAAGATCTCGACACACAGACTGCTATCAGAAACTGTGATACACAGGGGATCTGTCCTAACTATTAAAAGGCAGTCCACGTTACATTCCCTTGAGTAATACTTCTTTTTTTCACTAACAACGATTCCAAAGGCACATAAACTTTGCCCACTAAAAGTCCACTTTAAATAATCAGCTGTATTGATGTTCTTCTAATCTGTTTAAATTGAGAATAATGTCTAGGGAAAGCGGGGGAAGAAATAGTCTTGTTCTAAAGGGAACGACATGTGATTAGAAACATTGCGTTTAAACTCAAACACAGTTGAATGATGAACACAGTCTTCAGTTTTATCTTTTGCTTTCAAGATTGAGAAGCAATTCTTTCCCCAACATGGACGACGGCAAGCGGAAGTTCATCTGTGTTCAATGGGAAAACAAGGATGGCATGACGTCACTTTACATTAATGGAAACTTGGTGGTAAATGTAGCAAATAAACAAAAAGACTACAAAGTCTTGAACAGTGGAGATGTAAGACTGGAGCTGGGGTATTCATCCGCAGCACAAGATCTGAGTGGAAGAATGACGTGTGTCAACATCTGGGATGATCTGTTATCGACTCAAACTATCCTTCGATTATATCGTGCTCATGACTGTGGATACCACCCGAACAACCTCGTTATAGACTGGCAAAAGATTAGTACAAAACTGAGAGACATGGGATCGCCATTACTTGTAACTCCATCTGAGTTAAGAAATGACCAAGGTAAATGAATAACTGACCATGTCAAGTAATTAAAGAGACCGTACATGACTTGTCATCACCATGACAACCCACACAACATATATTTACCATTATCTCCCTTTTATTCCACAGTTATCATAACTACCACATGCACTAAACCCCAGCTTCTACATGGTCAAATCTTCCCAGAAGCAGTTCTGGTGGGTCAAGTCATATCAATAACAGAAGTTGTTTCAGAACTCCAGTGTCAAGACCAATGTCTGAGAGCACAAGCTTGCAATGCCTTTAACATTGAACAACAAGGAACGACGATAAAGAAAACGTGTCAACTGATTAGTGGAGTAACTGGAGTAAAAGGAAATCATGTTTCGTATGGAAGAGTATTCGACAGACAGGGTATGATCAAGGTATGTAGAAATTCACTCACACGATCTATTCACTGTCTTTGTTGTGCTTCCAATGAGATATTATCTGAGATCTTCTTTGTTTTAGAAGACTATGTTATGAAATTGTTTTCATTGAATCAGTGATACTTTTTCCCTTTTTCAGGCTCTTCTTACACCATCATGTTCTGAGAATAGAGAAAACAGTCCCTAATATACCAACATAGGTCAACCCAGCATGATCCTGCTCTTGACTGCAATGACACAGTCCCTACTATACCAATATAGGTCAACCCAGCATGATCCTGCTCTTGACTGGGATGACACAGTCCCTACTATACCAATACTCTTGACTGCGATGACACAGTCCCTACTATACCAATATAGGTCAACCCAGCATTATTCTGCTCTTGACTGCAATGACACAGTCCCTACTATACCAATATAGGTCAANACTATACCAATATAGGTCAACCCAGCATTATTCTGCTCTTGACTGCAATGACACAGTCCCTACTATACCAATATAGGTCAACCCAGCATTATTCTACTCTTGACTGCGATGACACAGTCCCTACTATACCAATATAGGTCAACCCAGCATGATTCTGCTCTTGACTGCAATGACACAGTCCCTACTATACCAATATAGGGCAACCCAGCATGATCCTGCTCTTGACGGCAATGACACATAATCCCCACCACCCATTAAAACATTCCTTAAAACCAGCAGCTCGTGAGACAAGATATTATTAAGTACATTTTTCTGTATTAAAAGTTAAACTTTCACACGGTAGTTCTTTATTGTAACTATACCTATATGCTATTCAAAAAACCTCCCAGTATTATATGGCATTCTATTGTTTGGTTTGCTTTATAACAGTTGGTAAAACTTGTTGTGTATGTTGCTTGAGTTTGAAATGTGTGTAAGCAATGATACCAGATAATGTTATAGCAATACCAATCAACTGGTTCATCTTGAGGGGGTCATGAAAAAGAAAATACCCTCCTAACAATGTTACACAGAACTTCAAATGCCCCACCATGTTATATCTGTTGGTGCACATTAAGGAAAATACTCTGGAATAAATTATGGTTAATAAGCTAAAAGCACTAAATACAGGTGTATTCTTTAAGTCTTTCTGTGGTCACAAAGGATACGTTACAGGAGAAGTATTGCCAATGATCCAATAGATTGACAAGTTGACAGTAAAAGCTACAATGCCAGAGCCCAGCACAGCTAACTGAAATAGATATTTTTGCAACAATATTTAATGTACCCATGCCAGGCATGATACAAACAAAGTCACTATATATATATACTTACGATAGCAATGAATGGCCAATATGAAAATAATCCATCTTTACCGGTAAGGGGCTCAAAGAAAGGAACTACAAAGGCAAGTAGACAAGCAGAAAGTGGAGCCTATAATTACAGAAGTAAAAAACACACCATGTTAAAATATGATCAGAATTTTTTCAGTTTGAATTCATAATGTATCAAATTGAGCTGATCCTC